TGAGTGGCACGACACACTGAGGACTACGCTTGCGGCTCTTGGGTTTGCTCCTTCTACTGCTGACCCGTCGCTGTTTCTGCGCACCGACACTTCTCTGCCGCCGTTCTACATCCTCGTGTACGTCGACGACTTGGTCTTTGCCATAGCGGACACTGCTGGACTCGCCTACGTGAAGTCCGAGCTGTTGAAGAGACACACGTGCACAGACCTGGGTGAACTGCGCAGCTACCTTGGCTTACAGATCACTCGGGACAGAGCACGCCGCACCATTACCTTGACTCAGTCACACATGGTGCAGCAGGTCCTTCAGCGCTTCGGCTTCACGTACTCCTCGCCTCAGGCCACTCCTCTGCCTACTCGCCACTCGCTCTCAGCTCTGCCTTCGGATGAGTCCGTAGGGTCGAGTGGCCCGTACCCAGAGCTTGTTGGCTGCCTCATGTACCTGATGACCTGCACACGACCTGACCTTGCATACCCTCTCAGCATTCTTGCACGCTATGTTGCTCCTGGGAGACACCGACCAGAGCACATGGCTGCAGCGAAGAGGGTGTTGCGCTACCTGTGCAGTACGTCGGGCTTGGGGCTAGTGCTTGGAGGGCGGAGTCCAGTGGTCCTTACAGGGCACGCGGACGCTTCTTGGGCTGACGACCAGGCTACGCAGCGGTCGTCACAGGGTTACACCTTCAGTCTTGGTTCCGGCTCTGTCTCGTGGCGGGCTACTCGCTCGTCTTCGGTTCTCAGCTCCAGTTGTGAGGCTGAGATCTACGCTGGGGCCATGGCTGCACAGGAGCTTCGCTGGCTCACCTACCTGCTGACTGACCTTGGAGAGCCGCCTCGTTCTCCTCCAGTGTTGTACGTAGACAACAAGGCCATGCTAGCCTTGTGTCGAGAGCAGCGCTTGGAGCACAGAACGAAGCACATTGCTCTTCGCTACTTCCTTGCTCGTGAGCTGCAGCAGCGTGGACAGTTGCGGCTTGCGTACGTGGCCTCTTAGGCCAACACTGCTCATGTGTTCACCAAGGCACTCGCGCCTTGTGACCATCAGCGCCTCTGCACCCAGCTGGGTCTTGTGCCTGTCTTGCCTCACTTGCTCTCCTCTTGACTTTACTTGTACTGTGACATATATATACCTGCTCTTGCTTGTCTAGTTTTATATATATATGTCTGTACTCCTGCATGTGAACTGGCCTCTGGCCCTGCTCTTGTGCTCGGACTGTGTGGTGACGTTGTGATCCACCCTGAGCTTGCCCAGCTTTGCTTTACTTGACTGGTCTTGTGACCCCTTGTTCTCCCCCACTTTGCCTATGAGGGTGTGTCAGATTTATATGACATAGTTGCTGTAGGCTATAGTGGGGTAGCACATATGGGGTACAGGGTTTGTAGGGTTGTATTTGTACCCAATCTTTCCTTAGTCATTCCATCCCTGTTCACTTGTTTCACACTACATCCTCGTGTACGTCGACGACTTGGTCTTCGCCACAGCTGACACTGCTTGACTCGCCTACGTGAAGTCCGAGCCGCAGAAGAGACACACGTGCACTGACCTGGGTGAACTGCGCAGCTACCTTGGCTTGCAGATCACCCGGGACAGAGCACGCCGCACCATTACCCTGACTCAGTCACACATGGTGCAGCAGGTCCTTCAGCGCTTGGGCTACACGTACTCCCTCGCCTGAGGCCGCTCCTCTGCCTACTCGCTACTCGCTCTCAGCTCTGCCTTCGGATGAGTCCGTAGAGTCGAGTGGCTCGTATGCAGAGCTTGTTGGCTGCCTCATGTACCTGATGACCTGTACACGATCTGACCTTGCATACCCTCTTAGCATTCTTGCACGCTATGTTGCTCCTGGGAGACACCGACCAGAGCACATGGCTGCAGCGAAGAGGGTGTTGCGCTACTTGTGCAGTACGTCGGGCATGGGGCTAGTGCTTGGAGGGCGGAGTCCAGTGGTCCTCACTGGGCACGCAGACGCTTCTTGGGCTGACGACCAGGCTACGCAGCGGTCGTCACAGGGTTACACCTTCAGCCTTGGTTCCGGCTCTGTTTCGTGGCGGGCTACCCGCTCGTCTTCTGTCCTCGGCTCCAGTTGTGAGGCTGAGATCTACGCCGGGGCTATGGCTGCCCAGGAGCTTCGCTGGCTCACCTACCTGCTGACCGACCTTGGAGAGCCGCCTCGTTCTCCTCTAGTCCTGTACGTAGACAACAAGGCCATGCTGGCCTTGTGTTGAGAGCAGCGATTGGAGCACAGGACAAAGCACATTGCTCTCCGCTACTTTCTTGCTCGTGAGCTACAGCAGCGTGGACAGTTGCGACTTGCGTACGTGGCCTCTGAGGCCAACACTGCTGATGTCTTCACCAAGGCACTTGCGCCTTGTGATCATCAGCGCTGCTGCACGCAGCTGGGTCTTGTGCCTGTCTTGCCTCACTTGCTCACTTCTTGACCTTGCTTGTACCTTCACTTATATATACTCTTGCCTTTGCTTGCTTGACTCTTGTATATCTCTATATATGATCTTGCATGTAAACTGGCCTTCTGGCCTTTGAACTTGTGCTCGGAATGTGTGGTGACTTTGTGATCCACCCTGAGCTTTGCTTAGTTTTGCTTGACTGGTCTTGTGACCCCTTGTTCTCCCCTACTTTGCCTATGGGGGTGTGTCAGAACATTATAGCTTACTTATTTGTGTAGGCTATAGTGGGGTATCCCATAGGGGGTATAACCCAATTAGGGTTTCCTATTTGTACCCACTTCGTTCATAGTTATTCCATTCTCGTTCTATTCTTCTCACACAGCACTGAATCACTTGAGTTCATGTGGTTACCAACACCACCTCCCATTGTGTCGTTGCCCGAATGTTCCTCTTCGGCAGCCGCAGGCCCAGGCCGGCGGGAGACAACGCGGCCACGGAGCGCGACACCCGCGTTCGCGCCGACGACGCGTGAACGGGATGGAGATGAAGTGGCGGTGGCAGCGGCGGGGGAGGAGAAGTGAGCTAGTGAGCCTCCATCCGGAAAACCTTGGCTTTTGTTGTTGCAAGACCATGGCGCCATCCGGGGTGACGAAGACGGACTTGCTCGTAGAGCATGACGTCCCGGTTCTAGCCTTGCAGGCGGCACAGATTCCGATATTGCTCGTCGAAGTCGTGGCGGATCCACGCCAGCTGCATGACTTCCGCCGGCTCCCACCCTTTTTTGTCGGTAGGCGTCGCTGAATCGGCGTCGTCGTCAGCACCGTCTTCGCCATCGCGGTCGATTTCGTCTGCGTCGAAGTACGCGAGGGTGTCGTCATATGCACCTAGAGGAGTGTTCGGGTTTGGTACACGCGCCACGATATCGTCCAGGTCAATAACTTCAAGGCGCCTGGAAGCGGCCGGATCAACGGCAGCATGCCGACGCCGCTGAGGTGCGGGTGCGCGGACCGGTGCAGCGACAGATGAGGGAGTAGAGGGTGCTGGAGTGGTAGCATCTGCCGGTGTGACAGAGCCATGGGCGCTAGTGTTGCCGTTTGTCATGTCGAGTGAACTTTGCGTAGACAGTACACAAGTGTTGAAGAAGGGTGGTATATTTGAATGTATCAAGTGCCTTCCACTCCCAGATGATTTCAAAGACATTTGGTGCGGGGGACGTGGATTGGGCAAGGGCGGGGGTTTCTTTGACTGACGTCAAGACGGGCGGGACGCGTTGCCACATCGTGCTCGAACGTGCCACGATGCTGGACACGTGGCTACCACTGTGTGCACGAATTGTGGGGTGTCTTCGTTGTGCAACTTCATGCACTGGAGAAGCGCTCGCCCGTTTCGCCAGCTGTTCGGACGTGCTGCAAATCACACACGCTCGCATGAACGTGCGCACGCACGTTCGCGCCTCCGACTCGAGTCAAGTTCATATTTCAAACTCGAACTTTTGCAGAGCCCATACAATGCTTGGTTCGCGAAGCACCCTTCGCGAAATTAGCGAATAGGGTAACCACCCAAAGTTCTAACTTTATTTTGAACTTCTTAACAGACCACACGCGCCCTAATACCATGCCTGCAACACGGTTTGGCGAAAACTCAGTTTCTGAATGCCACCGAGGAACAGCTGACAGCACAGGTTACCTGTAAGCTCGCCGATTCGCCAAACCATGACCCCAGCCTCTCCTTCTGGCAGATGATTGATTTTACACCTCCTCCGTCGCTCCTCTCTACGGCTGCTTGTGTCAGACCCAACCCACACAGATCTTCAGTTCCCTCCCACAACTCTTATGCCAGCCGCCTCCTAAGCACTAGAGCGGCTCAATTTAGCGGCACGCTTCGGGAAATGGATCGCGGCGGTTGGATGAGCGGAAGTTCTATAGGCCACGTCATTAGATAATCCAATTTTGTGTTTCCACCGTGTTTTGTTTCTGGCCGTTGAAACAGCATACATGTCCCACATTAATGACTTAGGATAGTGTAGGCGGTCCAATCAGACGTGGGGTTTATTTGGCGGTCCAATCAGACGTGTGGTTCATTTGGCGGTCCAATAAGAGCTGGGGCCATGCTTTTGTCGGCGAATCGTTATGATCCACCATATTCGAGGGTGGCATGTTTGGGACCACCGTCACAGCCAGCAAGGCAGATTTTTAACCGCTGAATGTATTCACCAAATAGCGCGTCGCAACGGTCCGCGATCAGACATTCCAAGCATCTTCAGGCTCACCTCATATTCCGGCGCGTCTTTTCAGAATTCTAGTTAGTTTCCGCAGCCTTCTACGCGTTTTGCCAGTCGAGCTTGGCTTCCGCTGTACCATAGAACGATCACCGTCTTCTCGCGTTGACACCATCCGGCCTGGCCTGGATCGTATGTGCGGATCACGGAGCTTCATAACCTCGACCGTGGGATTTTCCTCAACGTAGCGAGTCAACTTCACATGTCGCCGATTTTGACGTCAGGTACAACAACCATCCGTATTACGTTTTCGCATCAGCTTTCTTCTTCCGTTAATGCACGCGGTCTTCAGTTTGTTTCGACGCCGATTCTGACAATGGTGCTCGTTGTTGTATTATGCGCAGGACACCATGGTCGTCATCGGATTGTCGTGGATCTGCATCTCTTCATGGACCTCGTCGCGACGCCAAGTACGCCGTGGCAGAAGCGACTTCGATCTCCCCGACTTGTGACGGTGAAGGTTGAATGTATCACCTTTCACCACCACTCACCTCAGAGCCTTCCCCCTGGTAAAGGTTTGGTAATGGTTTGGTACAGGTTCGGTTAAGGTTCCCAAGGTGTTTGGTTGGTACTGGCTCTGTGGTGGGTCTTTCACGTTTCTTTCACGTCTGCAGTCTTCATTTCCTTTTGCTTTCTTCACTTCCGTTTACTGACTTTATGTTTTTCTTATTCGTGCAGGTGCTATTGGAGGCTGCTAGGCGCACTTTCGAAGATTTTAGAGGAGCAACAGCCTTCGGGGCTTTCCATGCTTCAAGGCGTACAACAGAGGAGCAGCTCCACGAGTGAAGGTTGAACGTATCAACCGCACTCTCCACAATTCACTGAGCCACCCCCCTGGTTGAGGTTAGGTACAGGTACAGGTTTGGTAAAGGTCCCCCTTAAGGTTTTTCGGTTGGTATTTGGCTCTTTTTTTTTCACGCTTCTTTTCGTTTTGCATTCTTTATTGCTCGAACTTTACTAATTCTTGTTTGGTGTCATACCTGCAGGTTATATCTGAGGGTCTGCTGCAATAACTTCAGAGGAGCAACATCGTTTTGGCGTCCTTCCATGCTTCGTGGCGTACAACAGAGTAGCAGCTCCAGGGCAGGTGAAGGTTGAACGTATCGACCACCCACTCCACACTCCTCGGAGCCACCCCCCTTGGTTCAGGTCAAGGTGATGGTAAAGGTTGAAGTTTGGTAAAGGTCGAGGTAAAGGTCCCAAGGTTTTTTTATTGGTATTGGCTCTGTAGGCAGTGCACACTTGCACCCCACTTGCAGTACCGTCCGTCTCTAAATGTTCTGTTTACTGCTGTTTACTAACCTAGTTTCCTTGATCTCCTTGCAGGTTATATACGAGGTCCTTGTGCCACGCTCCAATTGTGCTCAGAGGAGCACCGCACTGCCAAGCTCTAAGGCGGGGTGAACGTACCTGCCAACAGCACCTGGCAGGTGCCTCCTCTCTCTCCACCAGCAGTAAGTCTCGTTTCACCCCTCTTGGTTTAGTCACTTGTCTGCATGCTGGTTCGTTTTCCTTCATTGACTTGGTTTAGTAACTTGATTCCCCTGATTTCACTTGGCAGGTTGCTGCACAAAGGGATTTTAACATGCCCAAGAATCAGGATCCATGGGAGCACCTCAAGGCATAAGCTTGGCAAGATAAGTTTCCAACTTCAGCCTTTAACTTGATATCTCGCTCGAATGCTACTCCACTGGTATCTCCACGCTTGCTGATTTTTCTATGCATGCTGTTTTCTTGCCTTCTCTTTTTTACCATGGACTAATCGTTGTCTTTCTTCTGCCTGCAGGTGCCTGCATGGGCGACAAGTCTTAGTGGGTGGCAAGCCATGGCCTGCTGAAGCGTCTCAACGCTCAAGCCCCGCTCCACACTCCAAGCTCCTAACCCACTGATAAGTTTCAGCCCCTACCTTCGAGCTCTCTTTTTCATGCACATGGCTTTATTTTGTTTGCTGATTTGCTTTGGTGCATTGCATGCTGAATTTTTGCTTTCTCTTTTTTATCATGGACTAATCTTTATCTTTCTTCTGCCTGCAGGTGCCTTCATGGTCGGCAAGCCTGCAAGCCATGTGGCCAGTGCACGAGAGTGGGTGAAGCTTTTAGCATTGGCTGGGGACTCGATTCCGGGCTAAACCGGACTGGTTCTGTCCCCTCCCGCCCCCACCAAGTGAAAAAGCTGTCTGGCCAACAGTGATGTCATTTGGTGGAGGTGGGGGTGGGCAGAGCTAGTCCCTAGTAGGGCACTCGCACGTCTTGGTCCTGGCAATGCTCAAGGCTCAGCCTTCTTCTCTGCCTGTGCAGTGCACTGCCAGTCCATGCCGGGGTGGGCATGGATGGCATGCTGCCATGGAGTAGCTGTGGACATAGTAAGGACATAGGCTGTGTTACTGTGTACCTTTGATCATTATTTGATTGTTTACACGAAATATACCCTAGTGTAGCGATTCTACTCTAGGTAGTGTATAGAATGTTTTACAATCAGGAAAATGTCTGGACCAGTACGGTATGCTACTTACATATTCGTGTCGTGATTTTCTGGCCTGTAGAAATCAGTTACTGCGGATTTGCAATCCAAATTCTCATCACAATTGAAAGCCATCATGGTGATTAATGGGGCTTGGGGACGGGATACCATCTGGTTATTTAATTTTCAAGCTGTATTTCGCCAGAACAAATATGGACACAAGAATGTACAAATCTGTTTTATCGTCTCCTTGGGTGTCATATCCAGGTTTATAAGAAAGATCAGATGCATCAATCTAACGTGTCCACAGAACTTTCGAAATGGCGACGTGGAGCGGCCTCGACATTGCCGAGCTGCATCAGCCACGGCAGGAGGGGAAACACGTCACACGCCACAAATGAGGGATCCCCAGGGACTCCACTCCACTTCCCACTGATTTGGAGCAGCATAGGGATGTTGTGGAGCAGCATTCAATATTGACATAGTCGCTCACCACTGAACACACAAATCGAGGTTCGTTCATCCCGCCGTCACTTCCAGATAACCACGCGAACTCCAGAGAGTACAGATCCAGTCAACTATGTCGTCGGTTTCTCTTATCGTTGCACCGTCGGCTGCGCGCGGAGTCGCCTCCCTTGCCTCTGGAAGCAGCGTTAATCGCCGCGTTTTGAATTCGGGATTACTCGGAACGAAGCTGAGAACGCACAACCAGCAGGCGTCATCCGCGCGTCAAGCCGTGAAGCAGTCGCACGTGGTGGTAGCGACGCAGGTCGTCACGCAACCACGCGGCGACGTCATTTCATCCATAGTCGACTTTCTCCGTCGGCTTATCCCGGGAGCGAAGCAAGACGAGCCATCATCCAACGCTGCCCCCGAGGAAGAGGGCCCAATGGAGGGACGGCGGAGAGTGATGGTTGTGGGCGGCACGGGGCGGGTGGGGCGGCATATTGTGTCGCAACTGGTGGCGGAGGGATACTCTGTGGTGGCGCTGGTGGGCAGCGAAGAGCGCGCGGACGAGGTAAGCGGAAAAGGGGGGAAGACTGCGAGTCGTGAGCGGAACGAACTCCGGCACAGAGATAAATGAGAACGCTACCTTTCGTTCCGCAAGGAGGCAGAGAACCTGAGTTAACCCGGAATTCGTGAATTGAACAAGGATACAATACGAATTCTATGCTTATGTGCGCATGCGCGTCTGTTCCCGTGTGTGCCAGGTCCTGGCTAAGGAGCAAGGCCTTCAGGTGCAGCCGCTGGGAGAGGACGAGGGCGTGGTGGAGGCACGTCCGGGGCGGGTGCACGTGGTGCAGGGCGATATCAACGACGCCGACGCCGTGCAGCGCGCGCTGCGAGGCGCGGACGCCGTGGTGTGCGCGGTGGGCATCCGCGTCAAGCCGCGCACGGAAGAGGGCGGGTTCCCCGGATACGCGGACGGGTCGACCCCCGAGGTGAGCGTGATGCGGAGTGAGTGCGTGTTGCTTGCGCGCGTGTGTGAGGGGCGGGAGTTGGAGCTAGAGCGGAGCCAGAACGTACTGAGTTGACGCGCGAACGCACATGCATACTCCTATTGTCTCTCCCACCCCACTCCGCTCCGTTCCTCTCTCCTGCCGGATCAGTGTCTCCACCCGCTCGTCTACCTCTTCCCCCTTCGTCCCCCCGTCCTCCCCCCTTTTCCGCTTTCCCTGGCACTCGCCCTGCGCGTGCCCCGCAGGACGTGTACGGCAAGGGCGTGCCCGCACTCTTCCGCGCAGCGGAGGCGGCGTTCCGAGAGGGGGGAAGCGAGGGGGCGGAGAAGGAGAGCGAGGACTTGATGCTCTTCGACTTCCAGTCGCTCTCCGCTCCTCCCGCTGCCGCCGCGGAGGGGGGATCAGGCGCAGCGGAGCAGGCGGGAGCGCGGGTGTACGTGGATGGGTGGGGGCGGTTCGACGATGTGATCATGGGCGGCATCTCGGAGAGTGTCCTGCGACCTGATGTTGGTGAGCCGCGCGGGATTTGGCAGGTGAGATGTTGCTACTGGAGAGAGGTATTCGGCAATGGAGAGAGGTGATGTTTGCTTGGGTTGCCCTGGGGAGAGATGCTCCTTATGTGTTTACTTAATCAAGGAGGCCGAAGGGTGCACGGCATTGGGATTGGAGGTATATTTTCACGAGAATTTCCGTTTTTGACATTGGGGAACGTGCTAGTTCGTGCCTTGGTGAAGATTGCTCAATGGCAGATCATCTCAGCACGGTGTTGCCCCAACGCCTCGCTCTCCTTCTTGATGCCTGTGCGTGGCAGGCAAGGCTGTGTTTGAGGGCACGCTGCGAGTGGAGGGCGGTGGCTTCTGTGCCTCTAGGTGACGACGCCCACCACACCCACACTACTTGCGTCTCTGCACCACTCTTCTGTGTTTCACTCTGCTGCCGCGATTGCGGCCACATCACATGCACCCACTCAGCCACAACTCCCTCCCCCCTCTCACAAACTAAATTCCCCTCGCTTTCCTCCCCCTGGCTCCATTCGTCTTGTGCTCGCACCATGTCCTCGTCGCCCTTGCACCATGCCTTGCGTCCTCTTCCGGACCACCCACTCATGCACGCTCCTCGGCCGTTCCACCATGCGTGTCTCCCAGGACTTCCTTCCCCACACCGTTGGACCTGTCGGCCTATGACGGGCTGCACCTGCGAGTCAAGGGCGACGGTCGTCGCTACAAGCTCAACCTCAGAGACGAGGTGCGTACGCTGCTGCTGCTGCTGCTGCTGCTGCTGCTGCCGCTGATGCCGCCCTGTGGGTGGAAGGGCCTGGGCTCGCGCCCTTCGCGATCTGCACTGCCCTGTCTCCTTTCCCGGGCTTTCACCTCCCGCTTGCTGCTTTTCTCCATCTTTAGCCTCATCTCTCAATCAATGAACTCGTGAAGCTGGAGCACATGCTCTCTCTTGCCCTTGTCATGTGCCCCTCTCTTACTCCTCCCACCCGTTGCAACAAGCAGAAGTCACAGGGCGAGTTCCAGTACCAGGCGAGCGTTGACACTCTCAACGGCCAGTGGCTCGACGCATTCATCCCCTTCTCACAGTACGTACCCACTCACCAAGCCTCGCATGCAATCTCCCCCTCTTCCTATCGCGCCACTCTCTGTACCCCACGCTCCTGATCACCTGACACCGCTCTGCACCTCTCCAGTTTCATCTCGAATGTCTCATGTTCCCATTCCGGGGCACGTTCTAATATTCCACTCCTGCGAAACCCCCTGCCCCCCCACCTGTGCCTGCATCTGTATGCGCCCCAGGTTCAGGGCGGTGGAGCGGTCTCGCTCTGTGATGGACAGCCCACCTATCAACACAAAGAAGATCCGCACCGTAAGCGTATGGGGCTAGCCAGGGGGGGCATGCTGCTGCCTTGCTGCACGATGGCCCCATGAGCCTGCAGAGACAGTGCCTGGTTGGGGATAGGTGCAGTGATAGCTATCTAGTTCCTGCATATGGATTCCCTGCCCTCACATGCTCTCCCCTCGCTTGTGGACCCCCCTTCCCTCGCCCTCCTCAGCTGGGCATCGTGTACAGTCGCTTCCAGTGCGATGGCTTCCCCAACCCTCTCTGCCTCCCTGGGGAATTCTCCCTTGAAGTGAGTTGCTCTCCTTCCAATGCTAGAATTTGTCCTCTCAGAAGTACTTGGAGGCATCAGGTACTCGCACATTCCCACACACTTGAGCACACCGAGAGATACAGTCAATGAAGAGTCAAACCAGCAGCAGCACAAACATTCCCATACCCACAAGCTTTTTAAACCCATTGCGCGGCCCTTCTCTCACCCCTTCAAATCTCTCCATCTCCCCTCTCCAGATCGCGTCCATCTCGGCGTACCGTGCGAGCCGGCCCCAGGTGGTGCTGGTGAGCAGTGCAGCAGTGCAGCGCAGTGCACGCGTCATGACGGCCAAGGAGAGGAGCAAGTCCATCCCCATCGTACAGCTCAACCCAGGTCAGCCACACACCATTGCACGCACAGGATTAGAGACGGTCGGCAGTGCGCATGCTCTCTGCGTTTTCACCATAAGCATCAGTTTCTCGAACTCTTGCCTTTCCCGTTGTTATTCTTCACCCTCCTCGCCTCCCCCCCCCCCACACTGTCCCACCCCTAAAAACCCAATTAACCCCGCCTGCACCCCTCCCTCCCATCCGCACACTGCACTTGAGCAGGCGGAATACTGTCATGGAAGCTGAGCTGTGAGGATGCGGTGCGGGCCAGTGGGCTGCGGTACACGGTGGTGCGACCCACAGGACTGCTGGGCACAACTGAGGCCAAGGCAGACACCGTCAACACGCCCCACATCCTTGAGGTACCGCCCCACCTGCTCCACCTGCTCCACCTGCCCCACCTGCCCCACCTGCCGCGGCTGTCTCGTGATGAAACCGCAGTGCTGAATTACTTGCTCTCCTCTGTGTTGAATACTGACACTAGCCAACATTACCAGGCTTGTTATATGCATCATCCCCTCTTATTACCAACTCCCTATCCCCTCTCGCCCCTTCCTATCCTGTTCTCCATGTCAGTCGGGTCAAGGCGATGTGCTGACCGGCCTCATCTCGTGCCCCGAGGCTGCAGCTGTCTGTGTCAAGGCGCTTGACGCTCCCGATGCTGTCGACACCACGTTTGAGGTAAGCTTTTACATTGCTCATGCCTTCCCCCCCTTATTACCTCCTTGATTTACAGTTAGAATATCCATAACCCATGTTCCACGGCCCATCCACTGTCTCACTCCGCTTTTGCCCTCCCTCCTGCACGCCACTCCTCCGTGTGTGCAGGTGAGGCGGGATGAGCTGACAGCAGGGCTGAGCATGGAGGAGCGGCACTGGGTGGACCTGTTCCAGCGCCTCAGGCCTGACGTGCGCAATGGCCGCGTGCAGTACCCAGCTGTTCCTAATGCCATCTCTGATGCCTTCAAGGGGTAGCCATGCAGAGGGATGAACCACAACCATGGCAAGAGTGACAATTGAAGCGTGTTTTTGCAGATAAGCTATTTTGCCTGTTTTAGCTTGTTGGCTAAGTGGGGTACTGTATTTTGCGGTGTGGACCTAATGGTGAGGACACAGGCAACTTGTATTTACTGGGAACCTAATTTAGACAATTTACACACTAGACAAAGTGCGCGGGCAGGGCTTCTCTGAGAGCTGGTGTATGATATACTGTTTGATGTTTCTTCATGTGACAGCTTTTTTATATGGAAAGAGGCCTGCATACTAGTAACTGTTCCCATGCAAGGCAGGCCCTTGACTTAGTGGAAGATGGAAGATATGAAGGGACTCGAAGCCCCACTACGTCGAGCTTCAGTTTCACAGAGCTGGTGATTTGTCAATCAGGGAGCATAGCCTGGAGAGAGCGATATGGAGATTGTGTGGCCAGTCATGCAGATGTACAAAGGCATCAGACTTGGTTACACACAATGCTTGGCATTTGGTGCGGATGTGTATATGTTACGAGGTACTTTCCTGTTCAAGGGTAGTTAACCCTAAACAGACCCCCAACCTTATCTCAACCCTATCTTCATCCAACTCATCCAAGATTTCCTAGATTTCCTTGTGCCACGTGGCACTCTAGTTCTCTTGCCTTCCGATTCCTAGTCCCACAATCTACTTTCCAACCTTGTTTCTTGCATGCTACTTAAACCTTGCTTGTACTTGGCATTATCAATCAATTCTCATTCAACTCTTCTTCAATTACTTAGTAACTTCTTCCAAGTAACCTATTTCGCCAATAGTTCTTTCGCCAAAGTCTTCCGCCGCGTTTCATCCTCGACTTAGTTGACCCAGCTAATTGTTTAGCGGACTTAGGCCGTCGGGCCTAACACTTGGTATCAGAGCCTTCGTGGGGAGCGACTTCCAATGAGCGACCGTCGACGATGAGACTACGATGTCATCGTCCCGCGGTGCCGACGTGCAGACTTGAAGTCGTCGAGCCAATATGGACGAGACCATGAACGCTCTCCCCAACGACATGGGCAACACTCTTGCTCAACTCATGCGCCAACTCGAACAGTTGACGTTGGAAAATCGTCAGATACTGGCTGAAATGCAACAGCTTCGTGAATTCGTGTCAATTTCTCATGGTCATGCCGCACCACCTCCTGCACCCAACACGTCGACTAGCGCGGGAGCGCTGCCGGAACGTCGAAGCGTGATCAAGCCCAAGAAACCCGAGTCCTTCGACCCAAGTCAACGCGACGTGAACGTGCGGACGAGGCCTCTCATTCTGAACAACTACTTCGCCGCGAGCGGGGTGCAAGAGGCGGACGCGCAGCAGTGGATCGAGTACTCCGTTACGCTGCTGAGGGGCCCGGCCTTAGAGTGGTGGCGCCAACTCACGCAAAATGCTGTAAGAAGGGCTCAGACAGACGGGCATCAATAGGGCGTGGGGCATGCAGCTGCAACTTCGAGCTTAGGGAATTTAGCTTTGGGTGTTACCACAGTTCCGACCACATAGGAAGGATTTGAAGCGGCGCTGAAAAGTAGGTTCGATTTGGTGAATGCCTCCGAAGCTGCTAGGAAGCGTCTGCGTCATTTCCGACAGATAGGAAACGTCCAGGAGTATACACGACGGTTCTTGAGCATCTGCAACGAAGGAGATGACATCACGGAAGCAGAGATGCGTGATCGCTACCTCGAAGGGTTGAAGCCGAACATAGCGGAAGGTATAGCGATTCACGGGTTGTCAACCTTCGAGTCAGTTGTCACAGCCGCAGAACGCGTCGACGCAGTACGAAGCCGACGGGGTTGTGACGACCGCGATAGGGGATACAACAGACCGATCAACGACGCTTGATCGAGGGAGGATCATTGCCCATGGAGATTGGTGCAGTTAATGTCAGTAGATCTGCACTGTGGATGCCCGATTGATCCTGGAGAGGGTTACAGGCGCGTTCGCCTGGGGGGTTACGGGCGCACTGACCCGCTACTGAAACAAACCCTTTTATCCCAATAGTCTAGTGGTTGGGATTCTGACATGGTATCAGAGCCGTCTCGGGTTCGATTCCCGATGTATGCACATGTAGGCCATTGCCGCTGTGCTTAGTCGTGGGCCTCCCAGTGTGGGGGGGTGTCAGTAGATCTGCACTGTGGATGCCCGATTGATCCTAGAGAGGGTTACACGCGCGTTCGCCCGGGGGGTTTTGGGCGCACTGACCCGCTACTGAAACAGGCCCTTTTATCCCAATGGTCTAGTGGTTGGAATTCTGACAGTTAACAGTGACGGCTCGCAGCGAATGGGTTTTAGGGCGAACTGTCACTACTGCAAAAAGCCGGGACACATGAAACGGGACTGCCTAGAGTTCAAGAAGCAGCAGCAGGGAAACGGAAACCGCCAGTAGATAGCGGGTCGCTAGCTGGTGTGGAGGTTCTCGTACCCGCCACGTCTACCAGCGTAGAGAAGACGGCTTTGCAGCAGTCATCTACGGAGAACGAGGTAGACACTGTTGATCGACCAGTCGTGCTTCTAGGGAAGCTTCGCGGAGTTCCTGTTAAGATCATCGTAGATAGCGGAGCTAGCCACTCGTTCGTGTCTTCATCGTTAGTCAACAGCCTTGATCTCGAAGCAGATTCCGCAGACAACTTCAAGGATACTCGCATGGTAGATGGGACGCCTCTTCACATTGGACCGGTCATCCGCAAGTTGCGTGTAGTACTAGGACCGATCACAGTTAGGCGTGACTTCGACTCTGCGACGCTGGACGGTTACGACTTCATCTTCGGTAGGGATTGGTTACGGACGGTTAGTACTCAATTCGATTGGGCTCAGGGAAGCTGCAGCGTCAAGGTAGACGGGGAGTTCCGGGAGCTGCCACAGTGGAGCGATGGGGCCACATCATCCACAGCTATCATTAATGTTGTTCGTGTGCGACAGTTTGTGAAGCGTGCGGCACGGATCTTCGCGGTTTTCCTTGTGGAGGTGGAAGTCGAGGAAGGGAAAGGAGGGAGTGCAGCAGTTGGTGCGAAGGCGACTCTTCCTGCTGAGGTGAGTGCACTATTAGCAGAGTTGGCAGACGTCTTCCCCGACGAGTTGCCCCCAGGGTTACCTCCCAGCCAAACAGTAGATCATCGAATAGAGTTGGAGCCGGGGAGCAGGCCAGTAGCGAAGCCGCAGTGGAGGTTGAGTCCAGCAGAGACAGAGGAGATGACACAGCAGGTTAGGCACTTTCTCGCGCAGGGGCTTATACAGCCATCTAGATCGCCTTGGGCAGCACCGATCCTGTTCGCGCCTAAGAAAGACGGAGGGTTACGGATGTGCATAGATTACCGCGCACTGAACGCCGCCACCGTCAGGAATAGATTCCCAGTTCCGAGAGTAGAGGATCTTCTCGATGCTGTGTAGGGCGTTAGAATCTTCTCCAAGATCGATCTTCGCTCAGGGTATCATCAGATTCGATTAGTTCCAGAGAACTAGCACAAGACGGCGTTTCGTACGAAGCAGGGGTTGTACGAGTTTAGGGTTCTACCGTTCGGTTTGACCAACGCCCTAGCGACATTTCAGACGCTCATGAACACAGTCCTCTCCGAGTTCCTAGGGTTGTTCGTTGTAGTTTACCTAGACGACATCCTAGTGTTCTCTAAGACGAAGGAGGAGCACGTGCAGCACTTGCAGAAGGTCTTTGAGGTCTTGAGGAGGGAGCAGTTGTACGCGAAGCAGTCGAAGTGCGAGTTCTTCCTCCCAGAGGTCGAGTTTATAGGTCCCGTCGTTTCCGCTAGTGGCATTAGGACCGACCCGAAGAAGATGGCAGCAGTACAGGATTGGATAGCACCGACCTCACTCAAGGAACTGCAGAGCTTCCTCGGTTTCGCGAATTACTTCCATCGTTTCGTTCAGGGTTACGCTTCCATTGCTAGTCCACTCACCGACCTACTTCGGAAGGGCGTAGAGTTTCTTTGGGGTCCAGCGCAGCAGCAGACGTTCGAGCAAATGAAGCAGTCGCTCACGTCTTCACCGACACTGTCGTACCCAGATCCCACTCGCCCATACGTTGTAGTGACCGGCGCATCAGATCGGGCCATAAGAGCAGTGCTTCTTCAGGACAAGGGACGCGGATTGCAGCCGATCACGTACGAGTCGCGTAAGGTTTGGGGAGCGGAGCTGAACTATCCGATTCACGACAAGGAAGCGCTCGCGATCATCCATGCGTATAAGGTGTGGAGGTGCTACCTAGAGGGGGCAGATAGTGTTATACGCACGGACCATTGCTCGCTTCCTTTCCTCAAGTCGCAGCCGCAGCTGAGTCGTCGCCAGGCTAGGTGGATGGAGTTCATGGAAGGGAGTTTCCACTACAGGATAGAGTACAAGCCAGGCGTGCGCAACCCAGCAGATCCGCTCACTCGCCCTAGTTGCCAGTTCGCTAGCCTCATAGTTACTGCCGGCCATCCACTCCTTACAGCACTCTTCGAGCACGGTTACACAGTAGATCTCGACTTCACACAGCAGCCGCCCGCAGGAGCAGAGGTGCAGGGTAGTGTCTATATATGGAAGGGTACCACACGGATTTGGGTTCCAGCCTACCGCCCTCTTCGACAGCTCCTTCTCTCAGAGGCGCACGACGTAGTTAGTGCAGGTCACTTCGGAGCAGATAAGACGGCTAAGACGCTTAGTCGCACGTACTACTGGCCATGGCTTGCAGCAGACGTAGAGGATTACATTCGTTCATGCGACATGGGTCAGCGTACAAAGTCCTCTCGCCAGCGCAAAGCAGGACTCTTGCAGCCGATTCCACCGCCCGACTGCCCTTGGCAGGTAGTCACCATGGATTTCATCATGGCTTTACCGCGCACAGCTAGTGGTCACGACCCCATCTTCGTGGTAGTAGATAAGTTTTCTCAAGCAGCGCACTTCATCCCCACGCATGGCAAGGTCACAGCAGAGGAAGCCGCGACGCTGTTCGTAGATAACGTAGTCCGACTGCACGGGGTTCCAGATTCCATCATCTCATACCGCGACCCTCGTTTCACTTCGAAGTTCTGGAAGCAGCTTTTCGCACTGTTTGGGACTCACTTAGCCATGTTCTCCGCGTACCATCCAGAGACAGACGGACAGACTGAGCGTGTGAACCAGACCTCGGAGCAGATCCTTCGCAGCATCACGATGCACGACGCAGCCGCATGGGACAAGAAGCTGAGCATGGCCGAGTTTGCATACAACAACACGCAGCACTCGTCCACAGGCATGTCACCGTTCTTTGCACTTTACGGTCAGCACCCCAATGTCCCCACTCGTGTCGATCTCACACCCACAGTCCCTCGTGCGGACAACTTCCACCAGCATTTCACATTCATCCATGATCATGTGAGGAAGCACCTTGAGCTCGCAAATGCACGCATGGCACGCACCACCAACCGCAGTCGTCGTGAGGTGTCGTTCGCAGTCGACGGCTGTGTTCTCTTGGATAGCCGCAACCTCCGACTGTCACAGGACAGCAAGCTTCGTCCACGTTTCATTGGTCCATTTGTCATTGAGCGCGCACTAGGTCCAGTCGCATTTCGTCTCTGCCTTCCAGCTCATTTCCGCATGTACCCGTCATTCCACGTGTCTCTCTTTCGTCCTTACACCGATCCCAACGCCACCTTCTCGGGTCGTGATCGCACTCCACTGCCGGTAGCTGTTAACACCGACGAGCCCGACTACCAGATCCAGCGCATCCTCAGGCACCGTCGCCGCGCAGGGAGGTGTCTCTTTCGTTGACTTCTTGGTTCGTTGGCGTGGTTACGACGCAGCGGACGACCGCTGGGTTTCTTCGTCCTCGCTGTCTCCCGACAACACTTGCCTCCAAGCGTACTTTCAGTCTGCAGGCGCCGCGGACGTCGCCTCCTTGGGAGGGGGGTAGTGTTACGGGGTACTTTCCTGTTCTAGTTTACCCTATACAGACCCCCAACCTTATCTCAACCCTATCTTCATCCAACTCATCCAAGATTTCCTAGATTTCCTTGTGCCACGTGGCACTCTAGTTCTCTTGCCTTCCGATTCCTAGTCCCATAATCTACTTTCCAACCTTGTTTCTTGCATGCTACTTAAACCTTGCTTGTACTTGGCATTATCAATCAATTCTCATTAAACTCTTCTTCAATTACTCAGTAGCTTCTTCCAAGTAACCTATTTCGCCAATAGTTCTTTCGCCAAAGTCTTCCGCCGCGTTTCATCCTCGACTTAGTCGACCCCGCTAATTCTTTAGCGGACTTAGGCCGTCGGGCCTAACAGTATAAGTAGCACGGAACTGTACTTGTTCCTTGTTCTTCGAAAGAAAACGAGGCAGCTCGTCCGACGAACAGCTCCGCTTCGCAAACTTTGGAGGGTTGAAGTGGATCATCATCATCAGGGGGGTAGGAGATTCCCTTTTGCGGCGTCGACGAGATGCCTGCACCGAAGCAACCACCAGGTCTCGTTGATGAAGATTGACGGCCCAAATTCCAGGAGGTGTTGCCGTTTTTCAGTTCCGTGACAACCCCAGGGCTGGATTGGTTACACTTCCCCTAATGGCGGACTAGCATCCGCTGACGTGGTTTTTTTTTGCGATCACCCAGCCCCCTCAACCACTTAGTGGGTGTGATGATTTGTTCATCCTATGCCTTGATTTTTACATTGCGTGTTGAGTTCTCCACAGTCTGTGATTTCTAGCTACAGTAAAACGTTGGATCCAGGAACCTGAATTGGTGGATTGTCGCCCTTCTATCTTCTGTTGAGGTTGTTGACCGGATGGTTGGAGACCTGGGCGAGGAGGGGCACCCTGTTTTGATGGCTGACGGCAGTTTTCCCCCTCGGAACAACCCCAATCAGCTGCTGACCGATTGCTGCGCACCTCCGCGCAGGTAGCGTTGGCGCGCTGTGAACGAGCGGAACCTGGATGAGTTGAGCAGGCAATCAGCGCACAAACCCCAAAGCTTCGCTGGACTGGACTCCCCTGCCGGGAGGATTTCCTTATCTCCTTTCTTGCCCATCACTCTCTTCCTTTTCATGTCTCCCCAATTCAGGGGCTATGGAGCTTCCGTAAGTAAGCCTTGAACCAGTTACTTGTGACCCAATTAGTTAAGTCACTATGTTCCTCTAGGTTTATCATTACTGGATAAGACCATGGACGACTTCCGTCCTCCCTCTTCCTCTTCCACCCTCTGTCCTCGTGGGCGGGGGGTTCTTTCAACCAAGGCTGTGCTGCAGCCGCCAGCTTTATGATTTCAGTGGGTCGGCTTTGCCCATGGGGCAAGCTTGGGAGGGGTCGGGTGGGATGGGTCCTGGATTCGCCTCGAAGCAGCATCAGTGGGCAAACCAGTGCCCTTCCACTCTGCAGCAGCAGCAGCAGCAGCAGCAACCTCGGCGGCGGCGGCGGCAGCAGCAGCAGCATCAGCACGAGCAGCAGCAGCAGCAGCAGCAGCAGCAGCAGCAGCAGTTCCAGGAGCAGCCTCCAGTCCAGTCAGGCGTTAGCTATGTGCCTACTAGATCTGAGTGCTTGCTAGCTACTGGGCAACCGGCCCCTCCTCAGTTACCCACACCTTCCTCCTTCCTCCCTGACGTTTCGTCTGCTTCCCTCTGCGCGCCTTCTCTTCCTCCAGGTCAATCCCCTCGTTGGTCCTCCGCCTTTGTTTCCCTTCCGCTCTCGTCCCTTCCCGCGTTTACCTCCTCTCACGATACCTCGATCCCTTCCGGAAACCCTAGTTCGTTTGTGTCCTCCCACGTCCTTGCGCCGTCGTGTGTCGCGAGTCAGGTGCCGCTAGGCTCTCGTCCCGTGTCAGATACTTCATCTGCTTTTGTTCCTTACCGTCGGCCCTCCTCGCTTCGTGAATTGCCTCCTTGTCGCGCGAGTCAGGCAGTGACTCCTGCTCTTCGCCTGACCGTCGGCCTTCGCTCTTTCTACGGTGGAATAGCTAACGCAGCTTCATCGCGTTCCAAGTCCTTTTTCCAGCAGCAACAGCAACGGCAGCAGCAGCAGCAGCAGCAGTTGGTAGCACCAAGCGCAGCTGCTGTGCAGTTTTCGGGTTTTGTAGGATCCGTAACGGGGAATAATTTCGTGCATAGCTCACGTAGTCCTCACGGCGACGTTTTGAATTTGCAAGCGACTGATTATTCTGCAGCAGCTGATCAAATGGCAAGCGGTGCTGCTGTCTCGGGCGCGCCTTGGCACGGCTCTTACGTGGGGTGGGCCGACAGCAAGCACGGCGACGCAGCCGTTAGTGGTTACGTTTCAACAGTAGGCGATGAATGTTCGAGCCCATATTACCCGGAAACTGCGGGTGTAAATCAAGATGGTTGTTACGTCAGGTACTCCGACCATACCCTCCCCGAAGGCCAACTCCACGTTGGTCCGCATCTTCCGCTCCTTGCCGGCCGCTTTCGCTTCCTCAAGTCGCTTTCCGAAGGCGGCTCGGCACGCGTGTTTGTGGCAGAGGACACGTGGCACCCGTCGCAGAGGACGGTGGTGGTGAAGGCGATGCACCGCCATTATCGCGAGGTGGGGCTGCAGGAGCAGCAGCTGCTGCGCTTCCTCAACACCATCGTGGATCCCCACGATTCCTGCCGCATCGTGCGTCTCCTCGCGGGTTTCGAGTTTCACGGCCACACGTGCCTCGTGTTAGAGCGCCTGCAAGGCAGTCTGCTCGAGCACATGTGCCGCCCTGCCGACTCTCCGGGCTCCGCTGCCGCCGCCGCCTCCGCCGCGAACGCCGCCGCTTCCGCTGCGAACGTCGCGGCAGTCGCAGTTGCCGCGGCAGGGATGACGGCGGGTTCGGGTGAGTCGGCGGCAGGAGGGACGGGCGATCTGGTTGGGGCGGCAGCGGCGGCCGTGTCGGCGGCGGCGACTGCAGCAGAGACGGCAGCGGAGACGGCAGCGGCTCGGCTGGAGGAGATTCGCAGCCTGGCTCACGATCTGATCGTGTCTATCGCTGCGCTCCACGCGTCAGGCATCATTCACGGGGATCTCAAACCGGAAAACATTCTCATGCAGCCGCTCCCGTCCCCCCCCTCCCCCCCTCGCGCGTCTTCTACCTCTGATCCGTACGGCCGTTACGACGCGTCTGTTTCTTCTCCGTTCTTCTCCAACACCTCTACCTCCTCTCGTGTCTCCCCCGGCGGTACCGTATCCGCCGTCGCGGCTGACAACGGTTACTCGCAGTACCCTGCGTCGCTTGGGCTCCTGTCCGCCTCCTCTGTCGGCGATCTTAACGCGTCGCCGTGGACGGGTGGTGCGACGGATTCCCAGGCTAAAGCCGATGGGTCGATGGCGGCAGGACGGTCGTCATCGTGGCGCAGCGCGCATGAGTCGGGGACGCCGTCGGGTTACCCGCTGCCCTACAGCGGCAGCAGCGGCGGCGCAAGCAGTCGTGCGAGCGCCGCGGCGGCGCCGCCGCAGGTGGCGGCGAAGATCGCGGATTTTGGGAACTCGTTCACGCCGGAGCAGATCCGCACGCTGTGCCACGACTACAACGTGCAGACGCTCGCGTACCGCGCGCCCGAGGTGCTGCTGGGCGTGCCCTTCTCCGCCGCGATTGACCTGTGGTCGCTCGGATGCATCCTCGCGGAGCTCGCGACCGGACAGCTGCTCTTCGCGTGCGAGTCCCCGCAGCACCTGCTGCAGCAGATGGTTGCGCTGCTCGGCGTCGCCCCGCCCGCGTGCCTCTTCGGCTCCGGGAAGTTCTTCCCGAAGCTCACGGCCGCCGCGGGCGTGCCGCGCGTGTGCTGCTGCAGGACGGAGAGCGGTGGCGGGATGGCGGTGTGCTTCCGCGGGTGCAGCGGAGGAGGGGGAGGTGGTTGGTATGGCGGGGTTGCGGACGGATGCGGCGGGTACTGCGCGCCGATGGCGTTCAACATCTTCGCTCCTGGGTGCGTGCGCTCGTGCTTCCTTTATTCCACGGAGCGCCAACGACCCATTTGTTTCTCCCTAAGTTCACACACCCTCTCCTCCTCTCCGTGTTCTTCCGCGTGCAACCGTGTTTATTTGTGTGTCTGTGTGTAGAAAGCACTTACTTTTTTTTTTCCCGTCGTTTCCCTCCCTCCCCTCCTCTTCCCCCCTCCACCCTCCCGTCCCCAACCCCCCTGCATTCCCTCATCCGCTTACTCTTTTGTCCCGTCGTTCCTTCCCAACCCCCCCACTTCTTCCCCCCTCCACACCCCCATCCCCATTCCCCCTGCATTTCCTCATCCGCTTGCTCTTTTGTCCCGTCGTTCTCCCCCCCCCTCCCTTTCCCACTCCACCCCCGCGTCCCCACCCCCCTTGCATTTTCTCATCCGCTCTGTTCCTCCGCGCAGGCACTCGCACCTGGGGGACGCGCTGGCGGCCGTGGACGCGCAGTTGGCGGATCTGGTGGCGGGGCTGCTGCAGTACGACCCGCGCGTGCGACTCTCCGCGCAGCAGGTCCTCGGATTATGGGGTTGGAGTTACTGAGGGTGGCTGTGTGTGGGGCGGGGGAACGGGAATAGGGCGAGGTTGGCCTGAGGGATTGTGGTAATGGGGGTCAAAAGATGGCGTTGATTGTTGTTCGTGTCGAGAAATGTGTCGGCGGCATGCTGTCCGTCTTTGAGCAGCATTGGCATCTCACCTTACCCTTCTCTTTTGTTTGCGTGCCCTTTATTCTTGGTCTACTTTGCTTCGTTCCAGGCGCTCTCGCACCCTTTCCTGAAGCCCCTGCGCAGCTCTTCCTCCTTCGCCTCCTCCTCCTCGCTCGCCTCCAAGGACTTCTCGCACCCTCTCACTCCCTGCACCGTGCTCCCCACGCCTGCCCTCGCCTCCCCTCTCACTCTCTACTCCTATCACCCCAACATGCACACCATGCCCGTGCCGTCTCTCCTCCTCCCTCCGTCCTTCACCTCTGGCTCCTCCTGGGCCGTTCCCTCTGCTGACGCGGCTACTGTCACGCCAGTTGAAGCGGCAGCGGCGGCGGCAGGAGCAGGGGGCGCGGGTGGGCACGCGGGAGCTGCTGGTGCGGCGGGTGTACCGCGCGCAAGGGAGGAGGGCTTTGGTTTGTCTGCGCTGGGGGGCGGTCAGCAGGGGTCGGGTTCTGGTCCGCAGGGGGCGCATGGGCTCTGGTCGTTGCAGCAGGCAGCAACGATAGCTCAGGCGGGAGCAGCAGCACCGTGCAAAGTTTCCATGCAGCAGCAGCAGCAGCAGCAGCAGCAGCAGGGAGGGCATGGGCAGGAGCGTGTTTCAGCATGGGGCGGTGGTGTGAATGGTCCGGGAATGGAAGCGAGGAACGGAGCAGCTGGCGAGTCACAGGATCTGTACGCAGCAGCGTCAGCTGCAGCGATGGCGGACGCAGCAGCAGCAGCAGCGGCGGTAGGGATGAGTGCAGGGGCGAATGGGGACATGAGCGGAGCACACGGGTGGTGGAGCGAGGGGTTGGGTGGGGGTCCGTGGTATGGGGCACAGCAGGGTTCCGGTGCGGGCGCTGATGGTGGCGCCGCTGCAGCTGCTGCTGCCGCTGCAATGTCTGCGGCCTCTGCAGGTGCCGCGGCAGCAGCTGCAGTGGCAGCGCATGAGGTTCAGGCGTTGCAGCAAGCCATGTCGAACAGTGCAGCGGCAGCTGCAATGATGAGCTGCTATGGATACGGGATGGCAGGGAATCAGGAAGGTGCGTACTTGCATGGCGGAGCGGCATTCACGCCTGAGGGTGTGTTTCTCCCGCACTCCCACCTTGTGCCTTTGACCCCGGACCACCTCTCCCTCGGCCCTCCAGCTCCCGCCGCGGCAGCGCAGACTCACGCGCACTGCATGAGCTTTGCACCTGGTGCTGCTGGCACGGGTGCTTCCGGGCATCCCAAGGGCCTGGTGTTTGAACCTCTGAGTCCCGTGGCTGGCCGCGCGGGGACGGGCGGGGTGAGCGAGCGGGATGCACGTGGGCTGGTGGACGTGGCGAGTACTGAGCTGCTGCTGGCGCCGATGACTCCCTGCCAGGCCAGGGAGGGGCACGCGGTGGGATGGGAGAGTGACGCAGCGTCAGGGAGGAAAGGGGCAAGGGGTGCAGGCGCAGGGACAGGGGCGGGTGCAGGGGCAGGAGCTGGAGCTGGGGCAGGGACGGGGGTGGAATCAGGAACAGAAGTTGGTTCGGGGATGAGCTATGTTGAGCAGATGTATGCGGTGTATGAGGCGCAGCAGGGGAGTGCGCATCAGTACGTGGCCAGTGGTTATGAGGGGCTGCAGCAGCAGCAGCAGCAGCAGCAGCAGTATCTTCAGTACCCTCAGCACGGGGAATATCAGCAGCAAGTGAAGTTTCAGCAGCAGCAGGAGCAGGAGCAGCAGCATCAGCAGCAGCAGGAGAGGGCACAGCAGCACCGTGGGGTGATGGGATATGCCAGTGGGTTGTGTGGCATCAGCAGCAACGCCAGGGATAGCTGGACACATCAGGAAGCATCTTTTGCGGGAGAAATGGGAGTAGCAGGGGCAGCAGCTAGGGTGTGTGACGAGGAGAGCAAGTGGGCGGGCGGGAGGATGGGGGGCGCATGTGGCGTGGAGTACAGTGAGGCACCTTGGCTTGTTGCGCATGGCAGCATGGGCGGTTGCGCCCCGACGACTGTCAGGTATGCGGTGTGAGAAGGTGCGAGAGGGGGCTGGGAGGAGACTAATCTGTGTAGGATGTGTTGGGTCGTGGTTGTGGTCATTAGGGCGTGAACTGGTATTGAAGTTGGGATGACAGGGTGGAGAGGTGATGATGGGGAGTGAGGGCAGTGGGGTGCTGTCAAGGGGCGATGAGCATATTTGACTGTACCTTTCCCCGTTTGTTGGTACCTTGTGGCTCAGGCTGGGTTGGTGATGACCCTGCGCAGCAGGCGGCAGATTGGGTTGTGGGGACTGCTGGAAGACTAGATGAGGCATGAGAGGGCTGTAGCGGGGGCTTTGCACTACGTGGTCCTTGCTCGATGTGTCGCTGCTCTCTTGTTTTGACTCACAGCTCTCTGCTGTGACTCTTGTCTTGACAGAAGATCGATGATGCATTAGCATACCAATGTCTTCACGCCTTCCTGCTTCTTGAAGTGAACCTTGTAAGGATTTGCTGAGTTCATTCGCAGTCAGCACTCTCTCTCTCTGCACACATGAAGGTTTTCTTTTTTCGGTTACTTGAAATGACAACCATTTGGTTACTGCTTAAATTGCCTAAAGGAGCACTCGGCCTTTAAAGAAATTTGTCACGCGGCTTGAGAAGTACGAGCCAGAGCTTGGATTGATAAATCTTCGTTGGCTGCACAACCATATAGATAGATAAACCAGAATAGAGGTGGAATAGCTAATTTTCTTGCATGATACGGGCCTCCACTTCGGGGTGTACGTTAGGGAAGAGGTTCGCACTAAATCATATGTGACATGTCGAAATTTGTTTCTCTCACAAGGTCTGATTTGCAGCTGCGGCCATCTGCTTGACTACTTCTTGAACTGTACACGAGTGCGCACCGAGAAGTCACGCACTGTTCTGGCTGGGGCGACGCCGCCATCCACACCAGCTTCCGGGCCTGGCCTCTCCCAGTCTCGAGTTGTCACAGAAAAAATATATTTTGACGAATTACAATTGTCCATGTCACAATATTTAGGTGACATGGATTTTTCAGACTGCCAAGAATCCCGATTCGAGGTTCCGAGAATGTGATTCGTACAATTCGTCAACAAAATTTTTGCTGCGCTGTGGGAACTGTTTCAAAAAAATTGCCAGGGCGCAAGGATGTACAGTACAGCAGTTCAACTCATGTAGCAATCGAATGGGTGGTCACGAAATGTTTGACAAACATACCTGGCAAATGTAATGCAGTTGATACGATTAATCTCATCCTGGCTGAATGCGACATCGGCCCAATCTGAATGTAGACCTCCCTAGAGCAAGCCGCGGTGGGAATTACTCCCATTCATCAACAAAGCAGCTTGGTATCGTACCGTTTTAGGGTGGCTCTTGTAGGAAGCACGGTTTTCTTGCTGGTTTTCTTTCTGTACACCCGATTCCTGGAACGAAAGAGAGAGATTGGTACAAGTCGGCCCCGAACCAAAACCCCAGTTGTGGTTGTCCCTCCGAAGACGTCGTGCACTTCGACATTTCCGCTTTTCGAAGTGCCCCTCGTTCATTCTGTTTCCGACGTACTCAGGGATACTACCCCTATCTACAGTCCTTTGGAAAATACGTGTTCCCCATGTGACAAGGGCCGCGCCTGGCAGAAGCACCCGCGCCGCCATTGCTGTAGAAAAGCGGCGCTCTCCTCCCCAATAAGCCATTCCATTTGTGGAAGTGCTCACGTTCACATCACAATTCTCGTGCTTGCTCCTTCCTTCTCGGTCACCTCTTGTTAGTCTGCTCGACATGGCTCGTGGGCTGTCGCAGCTCCTTCTGCTACTTCTCGCCACCGCCACATGGCGTATGTCTCCTCTCCAAGTCGCTGAAGCGAAGGGCTTGAGTCGGGCGTATTACAAGGACTCGTGCCCGTACCTCGAGACGATTGTTCGTGAGATCGTCATTGACGAGTTTCGCAAAGACCAAACCGTTCCGGCGCCGCTTCTTCGCCTTCACTTCCACGACTGCTTTGTCCAGGTACGACTTGCTGGGTTTCTTGCCCCGCTTATCTACTTCTCGCCTACATTGACACTCAAAGCGTCCTTTTCTCCTCTTATCGCCTGCGGTCTCCAGGGTTGCGATGGATCAGTGCTGCTGAACTCGACGCCGGGCAAGAAGGCAGAGAAGGACGCCCCGCCCAACCTGTCGCTGAACGGCTTCAACATTATCGACCGCATCAAGGCGGCCGTCGAGGCCAAGTGCCCCGGCGTCGTCAGCTGCGCCGACATCGCCGCTCTTGCCGCGCGCGATGGCGTCAGCCTGGTGCGTTATATTCCGCCTCTTTCCCCTGCTCCTCTGCTAGCCTGCGCGCTGCAGCCTGTCTTTTCCAGTCATTGATTGCCGCTCGCATTATGCGGCTTCCACCATATGTAATCGAAGCATCCCCCACAACTATGCCCCTCTACGCTGTCCACAAATACGCCGTCCTTCTGTTCGCGACCATGTATCTCGTGCAGGCCGGCGGGCCGTACATTAAGACCCAGCTGGGACGTCGCGATTCGCGCACGTCGAAGGCCGCTCTGGCGGTGAAGTTTCTGCCCGGGCACCAGATGGACGTGAACGCGCTGCTGAAGAACTTCGCCGCCATCAATCTCACGCTCGTCGACCTCGTCACGCTCTCCGGCGGCCACACCATCGGCGAGTCGCACTGCGACACCGTCGCGCACCGCATCGCGCCCAACCGCGACCCCACGATCGCACGGTCCATGCGGAAGTACCTGGAGGGCCACTGCAAGGCGCCCAGAGTCGACGGCACCATCCCCGTCGTCCTCGACATCAAGAGCGCTAAGCGGTTCGACAACCAGGTAAAGCCACTCTAGGAGCGCACCACAATTTCAGCCAATGTACAAAAACTTCGCCCCACCTTTCTGGTTAACAAGCGTTTCTCACAGCCTTCATGTTAATACATATTCTTCCCTATGCTATCTCCGCCCGTCGCTGCATCCGCAGTATTTCAAGAACCTGCAGCGCAAGTTCGGGCTTCTGACGAGCGACCAGGTGCTGATGATCGACGCGCGCACCAAGGACCTGGTGAACGAGTTCGCGGCGGACAAGAAGAGCTTCTTCCGCCACTTCCGCCACTCCATGGTGCGCATGGGCTCCTTCGGCGTGCTCACCGGCCGAAATGGCGAGATCCGCCGCACCTGCAGTGTCGTCAACTGACGTGACGAAATGCGGGGCATTGGGGGGACTATGTGTTCGCTGTGAGAAGATGCTAGTGGCTAGTTGGATTAGGAGTTCGGGTTTTTAGAATGCGTGAGTGGGAGTTGAGGTGATTTTGATGTATCATGTAGATGGAAATAAGTTATTTGTTGGGTGCAGATTATTCGTTCAGCACAGAACTCTTCCATTTTCCAGGCATCCATTCTGTATTGTGCAGCTGTCCCAACTGATTGCTGCCTGAGCTGCCTCAAGCACACTCACAGCAGATAAGTCCACAGACTATGTTTGTAGATATAGATATGCTCTAGTGAGTTGCATGTTAGGGGGTATAAAACTTTCTCGATACTTTGGTTGTTGTTACGGGTGCAATGGATCAGGGTAGCGAGGATTGCACTAAAGTGTCAAGCGAGTACAAAGATGTGAGCGAAGGCATGGGCGAACATTTATACGCGAAACATGCAAACGGTAACGCGGTGCGTGCGAGCTAGCTAGTGCTACGCTGGCAGCGAGGCTCGGGCTAGTCCCGAAGCGTAGGCTGACACGGCCAGGCCAGCAGTGCGAGGTTTGGCAAAGCAGTGCGCGCGAGGTCGGCGAAGTCCCGTTAGCAGTAGCGGGCGAACTGTTGGGAATAATAAGTCTTAAGCGCCTCTGTCGTGTCGAAACTCAGGACACTAGCGAAGCAGTCCGAATCGAAGCATCGCGAGTCAACCCTCGGAGGTTAGGGTAACCGCCTGGAGGTTACGAGAAGGTCAAAGGTCAGCGACCTTTGACTTGACAAATACAGCGCGACAGCAAGGACACACAACTGACTCGACATTGAGCAGTTGCCCGACTCGCACTGTATCGAATTGCAACAGTAAAACGGTTTTAACTTATCTATTCGTATTCCTTGTACTCTTATATAAACCTTTGTATTTGCTTGTTTAATCAACTTACTTTGCCCTCACATACTAGCGCAAGGTGGTTCAAGTATTTTCATTCAAACGCTTCCGCTACTACAATTCTACTCAGACTTAAAACTCTACAAAGATCCTAGGGCACTTCAGCCCAACATGGTATGAGAGCAGTTAGAGTTTTTAAAGTTGTTTTCCTTTTAACACTCAATACAAGAAGACATGTCTGCAAGGAAGGAGAGGAGCTCCTCCAACGGCTCTCCAGGCACTACTCCTACTCCACCTCCTGTCTCTGGTCTACAGACAGAGGAAGGGACTACCACGAGACCAGCAGCTGGGTCTACGGAAACGCCCGCAGGCTTCGATCCAAGCATGATGGAAAAGTTCTTCTCCTTCATGTCCTTCTACGAGCAGCACCAGCAAGGAGCACCTGCGCAATCAAACAACAGCAACAACAACAACAACGTGACGCCCATGAGTCTCGATGGCTCATCCTACGCACGCGGGATTCAACAACAACAACAACAGCCTACCTTTGCGCCATACGAGCCCCAGCGTGGCCCCGTCAGCTTCATGCCGCAACCGCAACCTGCACCAGGACAAGAAAGGGCATTGGATGCGTTACAAGTTCAATCGCAATTCGCGCATGTCTTAAAACTACAAACGACAAAGCCTTTCGACGGCAAAGATTTCTTCACCTGGTCGTTCGAGTTCGAACTGATGATGGAAGGAGCACAGATTCTCGGCTTCTTCGACGGGTCCCTGCCATATCCAACAAACGGGACGCAATATGAGAAGCAGCAATATACTTATCAATCGATGATGGCGTACACGATACTGCTGAGGAACATCACCCCGACCCAGCAGCAGAACATCAGGACTTACCGAGGCTATGGCAACTCCGCGGAGCTCGCGTACAACCACATGAAGAACCTGTATCAAGCAACAGACAGCGTAAATCAAAGCAGGTTAATGGCGCAGCTGACAACGATTGAAATGAAACCAGGCGAGAAAGGCATGGCTTATATCAGCCGCTGTCGCGAACTGCGCGACAAGCTTCTTCGATGCGGCGGGTCGATTTCAGAAGACGCCTTTGTCACGGTGGTCATCGGCGGTCTCGGCCCCCACTGGCGCTCCACTCGCGCCATATTACGAGCACACGGGAGGATTTCCGAAGCGGCACTCTGCGCCGAAATTCATGCTGAGCAGCAAGACATGGACCTGCAAGAAGAAAGACACAAGAAGAAAGCATTAGCACCAGAGTTTGCGTTTCACACTCAGCGACGATACAACGGCAACAACAACCGTCAACAACAAGTAAAGACAGTACCTCCGTTCTGCCACATCTGCAAGACTTCGGGCCATCCTCGCACGCACTGCGTGTCTCGTCAGACAACACCACAGCGACAACTCCGAACTTCAAGCTCCCAAGTTGCTTCAACGCAAGCAAGTCCGACGACCACAATCCAAGCTTCAACGACTTCAACTGGACAACCTGCACAAGGAACAAGAAGCATCGTCAATTGCATGGTGAAGATAACCGATTCGTGCACAACCAAGTCACCACCCCACTACTCACCGGAAGAAGAGCTCGACAACAGGACGCCTCGCCGCGAATCAATCCAGCCGAATCCGACGTACGCCGCCATCGCTCAAAGCGAACCATCTGGCCAAGACACGTGGTTCTTGGATAGTTGCTGCGGACAACACATGTGCTCCTCCGGGCGCTTCGTTCAACGCGAACATCGACTCCAGCGAGAAGTAGTCATCACGGTCGCCAACAATCAGAACCTGCGCACACGACGACAAGGAGCGGTACAGCTTCAGTCACGAGAAACAAATGTCATATTACACATGTCAAAGGTACTTATCGCGGAGGGACTAGGTTACAACTTACTGAGCGTCAGCCAGTTGATGGCGAAAGGCATCCACTTGGAAGCCGACAGCACCACCCAGGAGTTTAAGTTTTACCACGGGAAGGGCGGCCTCTACATCGGAAAAGCAGTGTTGAAGAATAACGTCTTCGTCCTCGACTTCGTCCCCGACCTGGGCACTGCAGACAGCGACGCCATCGTCAACTTCACCGACTGGACTCATCCTCCGGATCTCGATCCCGACTTCAGCCCAGGAGGTTTCTGGTACTCGCACACCATCCCTGAAGCAGAACGAACACGAGCATTAGCAACGATTCAACAAACGACAGCAGCAGAGACAACATCGACAGCAGCAGAGACAACATCGATAGCAGCAGAGACAACATCGGCAGCAGCAGAGACAACATCGGCAGCGGCAGAACCATCATCGGAAGTAGCAGGACCAACGACACCAGTCATCGAAACACCACCAACACCCGCACAACAGCTGAACCCGACTCAACGAGAAGTCCACCGAAGCGCAAACATCGTCGCCAACTTCTACTCCAACTCTGAAGCGTATCAACGCTCACCGGGACATCGCGCTCCTGAAGATATCTGGCACGCACGCACAGGACATCCAAGCAATACGGTGTTAAACAACATGATACGAGCAGGAGTTCTAGACAAGGATTCGCTACTACTACTCGACGGCAGAGAACTTCAACGTGCACGAGGGACTTGCCTCATCTGCCCCGAAGCCGACTTACCCCATCGACCGTTTTCCTCTCACCACAACCCGAGCGCACCTGCGTACGCACCACTCGAGAAAGTTTACAGCGACATCCTCTACAATCGAGAACCAGGACAAGTCACCTACAATTACACGATCACCTTCATCGACGCCGCCACTCGATACGTCTGGCATCGCAACCTACCCAGCCGCGACATGGCACTCGCAGCATTCGCCGCTTGGCTACCGGTAGCAGAGAGGGAATCAGGAACACAACTGAAAAGCTTCCAGTCAGACGGAGGAGGAGAGTACACCTCTCAGCGCTTCAAGCAGTACCTGGCGGAAAGAGGGATCAAGCAACTCCTCTCCCTTCCCTACGCACATCAGCAGCAAGGTGTAGCAGAAAGAATGAACAGGACTCTGCAGAACAGCATGCGCAAACTGCTACGTGGCATGCGGCTACCCAACCACCAGTGGCCTGCAGCAATGGACCATGCTGTCATGCTGCACAACTTGTTGTCGTCGTCGTCACTCCCGAACAACGCCTCACCGCATCTGCTGTGGACAGGGAAGCTGGGCAGCACAAAAATGTTACGAGTTTTCGGATGCATGGTACAGTACAGACCCCCAGAAGCACGAGCGGGAAGATTTTCACAACGGGCACAGTGGGGACTACACCTCGGCATCGAGAAAAATTACAACGCGTGGAAAATCTTCGACGTCCACACAAAGGAAACAGTAGCAGCACGTGATGTGATCTTCTATGAGCGACTCACCCTTCAGACGTACCTCGCCAACTTGCACGAGAATCGGGACCTCATAGGTGGCTTTCGTGGTGACCGAGCCTTCGCCTCAGCAGCGGACGAAGCAGACTGGGATGAACAGAACGTCGACAACGCATCGGAAGAAGCCGGACCTCTCCCGTACTGCTCCGTCGACGTGCCCATGGACGAAGAAAATCCTCGCGACAGTAACAACGCCGAAGTCTTCTATCACTTCGCCGACAACGGTTACGTAACACTTGTGACAGTCAACACAAATGAAGCAGAAAGGATAGGGCCAAATTTCATACCAGATCCAGAAGCAGGAGACGAAGCAGCTTATCCCGAGGATACAACACTCCCCCGATACTCACAGACTGGGCTGCAAATCCTTGGTCTCGTCACCGCATTCCACGGGAACACAGGCAGCACGCTTCCTAAAGAGCCTGCGACAGTTCAGCAGGCTCTGGGGGGGGAACACAGGGAGAAATGGCGTGAAGCCATGGACAGGGAATTAAAAGCATTAGAGGAACGCAACACCTGGAAGGTCGTTCCCGCAAGCGTGGCACGGAACAAGACCATTCTCACCGGGAAATGGGTCTTCCGCATCAAGACGAAAGCTGACGGCACAATCGAGAAGTTCAAAGCACGCTGGGTCGTGCGTGGATTCGACCAGGAGCAAGGACGAGACTTCACCGAAACATTCGCCCCAGTCAGTCGACATACCTTTCTCCGAATCCTTCTCGCCGTCGCCGCCATG